GTGTCAAAACATACCAGCTTCCTCTACACAAAGTAAAAAGAATTTATTGTTTCTGCAAGGCTGGTAGAAGTAATATTGTATGTGGCTTTGTTTCTATTTTACTTTTTAAGATAGGTAGCATAGTTAGAAGGGACAAACGAGTTTTTGAGCACATGAGATCTTGAAGAAACACAAGCAACTAAGTCCAAAATTGAAAATGAACATGATACGTCCTATTTTCATTCAAGTTACAGTTAAGCCATCTTAGAGAAAAGCAGATTGGTTGCAAAGAGTAAAAAGAACACTGGCATGCCATGGTTGGTTAAATTCTAAAAGATACCATGGGACACATAAAAGAAGTAAAGATTTATACAGTGTCACATTACTCAGTGTTCAATAGAATCATGAATTTCAGGTCCTGTTCTTGTTTTTCGGATGGCATTCAACCTTTGAGGGTCAAGCACAACAGTCCACAGATCTGTTATGGTAATTTTTTCTGTGCATGAGGCTTTAATCAGGTCCTAAATCATTCAAACCACCTTTTTTTTTTTTTTAATAATTAAAAAAACTTGAAATTCCAAGAACAGCAAATGTTAGATTCAGTGACTGGTTGAGTTTTCTGAGAATACACTTTTGAGTTTTGATTGAATAGTTATAATGTTCATTACTTCTCTATAGTGTTTCAAAATAAATTTCCAAAAAATCATGATTTTCTGCCTTATTATCAGGAAAACAGCTGCAGTATTTCTGAAAAGTAAATTACCCTTTAAAAAATTAAGCAATAATGCCATAACATGAAGCTTCTTTAAATATTCTTTTAAGTACAAAAACTCTACCAAGATGATGAAAACCATCTAAATGATCACTACTGAAGAGACAAGAGAGCTAAATTTTCATGGGCTGTGTGCTACTGTGTTTCAGGTCCACAGTAGAGAATTTTGAAGCATATGGCGTGTGTTCTTTGCTAGTTAGTAACAATAAAATTAGCCTGAAAACTTTGCAAATCAACAGGAACTAACCCTGTCACTTCCAACAGGACAAATAAACTCTTTCCCCTATCCCAGAAACAAATGAGAGGAAAGAAAAATTTTCACTTCATGGACAGCTTCTCAAAAGAAAAGAATGGTGGGAAATGGCTAGGCCTTAACTATAGGAACAGTAGTGGAGAAAAGATAGAAAGAAAAAAGAAAAAAACAAGGGGAGGGGGAAGGGGGGGAAGAATAAAAAGCCTTCCCAAGTCAGTGCTCCATTCACCTTTCTCTCAGAGGGATTTGTACCTCAATTAGATTAAAACCTTGGCAGCTAGCCTTCCATCAAACATTCCAGAAGTTAAACTTCATAAAAGTTCACGGTGCCAGACCATCTCTAAAATGAATAAGTCTTGCCCTAGCTGTGTGTTTTAGATAAGGTACTACATAATGTTTTTAATTCCTCCATCCTTCTTGCACTGACCAGTAAATAATATAGCTCAAAAAAAAAAAATTATCCTTGCATCATTATAATCCTGTAATTCGTCTGGAGATGTGGTTAGTAAAACAGCACAAAAAATTAACAGAGATATTAATTATAAACTGCAATATCAGTCACATGACTGCATTTGTTCATTGCTTTTGAGTTTTACCACTGTTTACAAACCAGAAGGACAGCTTTTCATTTTCCAAAAAAAGCAAAGGTATTTGTGTGAAAATTAAACTGCAGTCTTTTAGCAGATGTCATGCAGTTTGATATACCCTCATCATAAAGACAACAGAGTAAATGATTGTATACAAATGGTTCTCATACTGCTAAGAGTCTGCAGAAAAATGTGCACACACCAAATGATTCAGCACATTTGTTGCCAGCTTTTTAAATGGCTTTACATAATTTACTGATATTTAAATACAGTAATGCTCTGATGCCTAGAAACCTGTTTGAATATTTTCTTTTTCACAAAGAAAGCAAATCCCTGAAACAGAGCAGCTTCATTTGTCTTTGTTCTTATCGCATTTAGAAATTAGACACGGAAATGTCTCAGAATGCATCCACTTTGTCTCAAGCAGAAATGACTCCTGCATTGTATAACTACAAAAATTGTAACCACAGCATTTTCTTCAACATAAATAATGAAGTTGGAAAGGGAAAAAGCCTTGCACCAAAAAGAATTGCTGAAGATGATCATAACTGAGATATTTACGGTTTCAGATTTTCCTCAAACCCCAAACCTGCTTTTTTTCTTACGCTCGAGTCAGTTGAGTAATTCTGATCTCCTATCAAATGGTGTCAAACATATTTGATTCTTCTGAAAGATACTATTTGCATAAGTCCATTTATGTACTTGAGCTTCTCTTCCCAAGAAGCAATTCAGCTCTGTGCTGTGATGGCTTTTTAAGGGGAAATCTGAACACTAAGAAAACTTGGGGCAGGAAAACACATTCTAACATCCAGTTTATAACTCCAGATAGCTCACAGCTCTAATTCTGAGGTACTTGAAATAGGTAAATGACTCTATGTTTGCTCCTATTTTAGAAGGAGAAGCAATGTCTCTGCCCATCTCAGAAAAAGACATTGACAACTTCAGAAAGTTTCTCAGTATAAACTGTCCCCAGCTTGACAAATGACATTTCAGGCTATATTTCCACAGAACATGGCCTATTGTGATGTACTAGGATCCCCACATACATGTTTTGTAGTTTACCTCTGTAGTGTCCTCCTCAGGACAATGGGCTCAAGCTGTTGGCCATGCTTACACAGCTGCCGCTGCTACAGAAGTGGATAGGGAGTGCACAGAAGTAGGCAGTACAGTACGCACAGGCTGCAGCCTGGATCTAGTGTTATTGAAACAATTCAACTCTCTGTAACTTCATTTAAATTATGAGTATCAGTTCTACACAATTTTTCTTATTTCTTTTCCCTCAGCTTTTTAGGGCACCACACACATCTGTTCCCTCAGCTTCTGGGCTTTGACTTCATAGTGCTTTTCGTATAAATCTTAAAGTGAGTTTAATATTTTTCTGTACAGGGCCAGTGTTTAACAAGACTTGTCATAGGAATCTTGATCCAGAAAAGCCCTTAAGCATGTTTATAGCTTCAGTTTCTTGAGCTGGCTATTTTATCCTAATGAAACCAAACACATGCACGAAGTTAAAGATGTGTTCCAATGCTTTGCTATTTATCAGTGAGAATGTTTAGCAACTATGCAAAAAGGGAACACAACTTTGTAAAACTGATAACCCTGCTTTGAGTAAAAAACAAAAAAAACGTCGTGTCCTCATATTTAATCCTTGGAGAATGTATGACTCTACTTGCCATATGAACATTTCCTTGAAGATACATTTCAGGACAAGTGCCATTCATAACCAACTGCACTATGAAAAATCAAGCCACAGATTTCTTTAGGTAGCTCCTCATAGTCACTTTCTTTTTGGTAAAGAAATATATAGGAGGACCCAATGAATCCACTTCAATGAAATGTTCTGAAATCCGCTAGCCTCGTGCCTCTGCCTCACTTTGAGCAGCAATTCTGTTCCACATCTCATTACACTAATAAAAGGGAAAATTCAGTTAACCAGAAAGTGCTGGAACTATTTAGACTTGCAAAGAAAATCACTTCAACTCCAAGAAAATTCACACAACAATGAAAGTGCTCAAAACTTCTGTTATAAAAGAGGCTTAGCAAAACAACACAGAAACAAAACTAGACTTTGACATCAGAAGTAAAATGCTCGTAGTAGAAAAACAAATATTTAACCATTATACAGCATTTCCGTTTCTTATACTATTAGCCTTATTCTTCTTGTGAAAAAAACACTTATATGTAAATTATTAAGGAAGAACATAAGCCAACCAATCCTTTTCAGTAAAGATTAATATTTATTAGAAAGGCCTTTTTATGAAATTCTGGACATTGAACAGATGCACTGTGCCTGAAGTTGAAACAAAATAGATAAAAAATATGTAATTTGATACTACAGTTTAGAATGGAACACTTGGAAGTACAATAAGGAAAGAGAATGACTTCCTGAGGAAGCATTATCTTGTCTAATTATGAAAAGCACCAAATAATACTTAATTTCACAGATAACAGGCAACTAGCTTTATAACCATTGTATCTTCAGATAAAAAGATAATTTTGAAATATCCACAAACTGACACAACACTTCCGTTTTCACCATAACTACACATGATAGATTCAGGCTAATAAGGGGAAGATTACTTTAATAATTTTATTACAGAGAAGAATTTGCAGTTTCAAACTGTACAGTGACAACTCCACAAGACATCTGTAACACTTGCATGCTTTCTAGGAATAGCCAACTCAGATTCCAAGCCACTATCTTAATCAAGCAATAAATAGCATGTGATAACTTAAGATTCATTCTGCATAACTATACCAATGTGTCACAGCTTTGTTGTTTTGTTTTTTTTTTTTTTTTACACATTCACCTCTCACAATTAACAGACCACTGCTCACTCTGTAGTGACTGTACTGACTGTGCTCACAAAGACGGAAACACACAGACTGAGACAACTAGGTAGGATCACATAAGTCATTGTAAACAGATTGGTTGAACTTCAATTAAAGAATCTAGTAATTTCATATTTCCTTCCTTATCCCACTAATATGATACTTCTGTGGAAGATATCTGTGTAGATTTGAATATTCACTTGATGCAAATAGATTCAAATGGAGAGGAATATGCCACTGTGTCAAGCTGGAAGAAAAGAGTATCGTTTTAAAAGGTAATCCAGTTACACTCATTTGCAGATGTCTTCACACTTACTGGCTTTGTAGAAAACAAAGGAAAGCAGAAAGCAGAGCAGAAATTCAATACAAAGCCCCAGGACCAATATTTCTGGGATCAAGAGGACAACAGCAGCAGTATCTACTTTGCTCTGCCAACAACAAGAGAAGGTAAAACTCAGAGAAGAGAAGATGATCAAGTACAGTAGTCAAGCCCCCAGTGAAAATAAAATTGAGAGGCTAAACACAAATAGTTTCATGCCTTACACTTAGCTGCACTCTAGAAAATTCACAAACTTACCTCAACTGCAGAGGTTGCTATCTCACTGGGATGGATTTAAAATTTCTTGTAGTGTTTTAAGATTATCATCGTTTTCTCTTTTCCCTTGCCTGAAAATTTCACCACTTTGTGAAACAGTATACATTCAGAGAAATTACAAGGAATCTATTTTGCTTGCTTTTTGTATGCTTTTGGGTTTTTTGTCTAAAATGCATAAGGCTCTGTAAAAAAAAAAAAAAAAAATCACTGTCTCCCTGACACAGCTTTTAAAGTGATTACAGACACAAAAAAACTACTATAGAAAAATGTAGAAAATTGTATACTTTGATGAAAAGATGGAATATACTTTTAAGTCATTGTGCTTTAAAAGTACCACTCTAATTACCTGGGTTTTGGGAATTATGCCAGTTCTAGCTAGAAAAAGCACTTTTATCTAGCCATCAGCTACAAAGGAGGCAAATAAATTGCACGAATTATTGAGCTTTTAGAGTTTGGAATGTTTGAGACCAAGTTAAAAGAAACACATGCCTGTGATTACATAGCAGCCTCTACTCTAGAAGTGAAAATAGAAGCACAGAAACCATGAGTAGTATAACAAAACTAAGGATACAAAATATCTAGTAACATAAATTTAAGGAATGGTGAAATCATGCAACTGAAATGCCCACTTACATCACCTGAATTTCCAGTCTGATTAGTGGTTACTCTGTGCACTTCTGCGAGAATATTCTAATACAAGCCATTCTAATTATGTTGCAAGCATTTGAACAACAGACTGAAAAATCAGATACTATGTTCCTATACTCCACTGAGTTTGAGGGGTTTGTGCTGTCATAGGACATCTTTTGCTTTCTAGAACTGTGTATCACAGAATCAGAATCACCAAGGTTGGAAAAGACCTACAAGATCATCCAGTCCAACCATCCACCTATCACCAATAGTTCTCACTAAACTATGTCCCTCAACACAACATCCAAATGTTCCTTGGACACCTCCAGGGTTGGTGACTCCACCACCTCCGTTGGCAGTCCACCTGACCACTCTTTCAGAGTAGTATTTCCTAACATCCAACGTGAATCTCCCCTGGTGCAGCTTGAAGCCATTAAGCTTGTCACCTAGCTTGAGATCTGCCGATGGGTATCACCTGTCTCAAAGGGGGAAATGGATCCTCGCGGGAAATGGAGCTGGCAGGACTTGTAGAGAGGGCTTTAAACTAGATACAAAGGGGTAAGGGAACAAAACCAGGCCCACTAGAGATGATCCTGGGGGGGTAGTAATGGGACTAGGGGTGAGGCAAGGGGCTCAGCTGAAGTGCATCTATAGCAACACATGCAGCATAGGCAACAAGAAGAGTTGGAAGCCATTGCATGGCAGGCAAGCTATGACCTAGTACATAATAAACTCAGTTTGAACACTGAAATCACACAAAAGCTAAGAAAGTAAGAACTTCGGTATAAAATGAGCAAGAAAGTAATTTGAAGTAAATAGCTTTTAAAAGTTACTAGTGCTAATACGTAGGAGTATATGTATATATCAAGGTGAATAATCAACAAAATTTTGCTTAATTCTGAGCAAGTTAATACCAAGAGTGTCTGTGATCACATTTAAGCCATAAACAGAGCACACAGAAACCCAGAACAGCACTGCACAAGTTGGTATATTCCAGCTTCACAACACTGGCTCATATCTTGAAAGCAGCACAGTCCCACAAGGGCTATAAAATTTGCAAAAAGTTCTAATAAACCAGTACAGATACAAGTCAGCCTTGACTATCTCAGTCCCCATGCTCCACTTCGATCTGTCTGAAATGCTATTTAGAAATCTACAGCACTGCTACCAAACTATCATCACACCAAGGGCACCAAAGAGTTCACAAAGTCGCCACTTAATTAATTTGCATCTATTACCATCAGACTTTTAAATAGCCAGCCTGCTGGAAATCAAATAAACTTTTCCTACATCCCATGTGCCCTATCAATTAAGTAAATAAAGTGCTACAAGAATATCTCTAACTTTATTTTTTTTCCTGCACCTTTTCAGTGAAGTCAGTATTATGTTAGAAGAGCAACAAAAACAACTGGAGGGAATGCAACATTAAAACCCCGTATTGAGTTTGCTACACTGGGGAGTTCTTCTGGTTTCTCATCTCCACTCAAAGTAACTGAGGATGGTCCAAGCTCCCCGCTTCCATTTCTCTTAGGCTGCCTTAAGCATTCTGTTGTGCAAATCCTACTCATACAACTATTTTTTGCCCAACAGCCAATTGATTGAAATTACATCCTAGAAGTACTGTGTCTTCCTGAGCAAGAAGATACATCAGAGCTGAAATCCTATTTTAAATTGCTAGCCCTTCTTGGGCACAGTGCACAAGTCAGGCATGACAACAGAGATGACAGCTGCATCATCAATGGCACCAAGCATTTTTGTTGCAAGACCAAAAGTACCAATCAAATCTGGGTTTGGAAACAGTATAAAATTATCTTGCTAGTACTGCAGCTATGTCCCCTGTTATATTTCATTGAGGTTTTGTGCTTTCTTTTATCATCTGCAGGGAAAAAAAAACAAACATGAGGACAGAACAGCCAATCCATTCTAGAGCCTTAAGTATTTAGTTAGCTTGTGTTTTGTGCATACATGAATCAGCACAGTAAGCTCATCAGTTTTTTCAGCACTTTGCATCACGTGGTCATGTGTTTTCTGATGTCACCAGAGAAGCTTTTAAGGCCAATTCACTTGGTGAGCCACAGTCTTACCAACACCATTTGAACTCCTTATGTTCAGGTCTCATAACTTGGCTAGTGTAAGATTTTTCCTTACTTGCTCTACTTTGACTTAGAAAACTTGCTCTACTAGCAGATCCTCAAAGTTCCTTTTAGTATCATTATATTCATACAGGATAATTTTCATAATTCTGCTAATCAGTCAGTATGGATAAAACTGTATCCAACAGTTTTCCAGCATTTTTCCCATTGTAAGCTGTTAGAAAATTCCAGAAAGGAAGGACTCAACAACTCTTGGTAAAATTTGTTCCCATTTGGATTTGATCCAAGACATCCTACACAGTTCTATTAAAGCACAGCAAACCAGGCTAGGCATTAATGTAAAGCCGAAAAAGGCTTTATACTGTCAAAATGAATCAGATTCAGATTGGCTCCATTCCACAGTTACACTTTTAAAAGCTTATTTGATAACAAATTACACAGAAGATAAACAAGCAATTAACCAATCTCCCAAGAAGCTAACAATCAAAATATTCTGTGCTGAAGAATTAAACATATCGGGTTTTTGCCTTTATCTATGATTTGGTTATGCAGCGTCTATGTTAAGTGACTTTCAGCCACAGCAGGGTCAAAGTTAATTGGCAAAAGTGCATTCCACCATTTCTTAATTATAAATTCCACATTTTAAGTAAAAGTGATATGCTGAAATTTAAATGGAATTTAAAAAATAGAGGAATAAAAAATGACAGACTCCAGATGTATGTTATGATTTTCAGAGTATTGAAAGTCAACTTCTGATGCGTATGCAAGCTGTGTGGATTTACAGCAGCGTAACATAAATGACTTCCAGTGACTCTACCTATATGTATACCCTTCATGCTGATGCTAGTTCTTCCTATTTGTAAGTTTACGTGATGACAAATCCTAATCACTTCACTCCCATAGTTCATTACAATAAAATAAGAGATGATGCAATTCTGAGTTCAGTCACACTTCTGCACACTGTATTGAGTTATATCCAGTAAGTTTTCATTAGATCAGACAGATGGCTTGAAGCCTAGTTTCTTGTTTCTGCTGAAGTTCAGGAATGAAATAGAGTTTGAGTTCTATGCCTAGGAACTAGGATATAAATCCAAGGTCATTCAGAAAACCTGAAGCAATTATTCAAAATCCTTACTTTTTGTACTTCTAACGTTAGTAAAAATTCAATTAGGAAAGTTAATTACAGACAAGAATCAGAATAAGTGCCATAATTCTGAACTTTTGCTTCTATAAGCCTACATAAGAAAGATATCACTACTTTGGCCTCAGCCATTTCAAGCTAAGATTACCAGTTAACTGCCTAGTCAGAAAACACATCTATCACATAGCACTTGGGAGGTGATGCATTACCCATCTCTTTTCCTTATAAATGATCAGCTAGCTGAGCCTATATCCCATCAAGGCATTTTTGTACATCTGCTTCCTGCTACTGGACATCTCACTTCCTATTTTTCACAGCCATATTATAATCTTGTTCAAAAATCCCTCATGTAACATTTCTGGATGCGAGCTTGTTTTCTCCTCCTGTATTAAGCTTGTATGGTAGTGAGTTACCTGAATTATTCTGATATATCTTTGCTTACCTCTTTGATCAAGCTGTTTTTCCACAGATGTATGCTATTACAGATCTCAAATGTCAATTTATTATCAAATTCATACAGCTCTATTTATTTCTTTTTAAATGACAACTGCTTACCTCCTTTGTTACATAAACATAGAATTACTTCTGTTCTCCTGTGCAAACTGTGCACACAATTATTAGCTATAGTTACTGAGTCCACAAGCACAGCTGCCAAACCATGCATGGCCATTACTATCAGTAAAATGTGCCCTTTTCATGGGCAGAACCCTAACCAAGAGGGGTCACATCAGCTAGGTGAGCAAATGCTGCAGCCTGAGAACAACCAAGACTTATATTCGTTGCTTCCATTCATTCTTCTTTCACAAGCATATATTCTTACGAGCATATATTCTCCATACAATCATAGAATGTCTTGCATTGGAAGGGACCTTGAAGAGAACACGCTTCCAACCCCTCTGCTATGGGCAGGGCTGTCCTCCACAATCCCAGGCTGCTCAGGACCCCCATTCAATCTGGTCTTGCACCTTCAGGGATGGGGCACTCACAGCTTATCTGGGCAGCCTGTGCCAGCACCCCACATTTTTCCAAGTAAAAAATTTCCTCCTAACATTTAATCTCCCCTCTTTTATTTTAAAGAAGTCATTTTTATAAGCCCATTTTTAGTACTGGAAGGCCACAAAGAGCTTTCTCTTCTCAGCTGAAGAAGCCTGGCTCCCTCAGCCTGTCTTCATAGAAGAGGTGTGCTCATCTTAGTGGCCCTCCTCCGGACCCACTCCAAGAGCTCTGCATCTTTCTTGTGCTTTGGAACAGAGGCCTGGATGCAATACTCTGGATGGAGCCTGACAAGGACAATTTTTTTCCACTTTTCAAA